CATTGGTGAATGCCACAAATTCTCCTAAATCACTCGTACGCACAACTTAAGAACAAATCTGTGCGTACGAACGGTTCTTGCATGAGGTCCATTGATTTTAATTTTTTGGCCCTCTCAGGTAACATGTTTGGGCACCCCTGGGTTAAATAAAAAGCACCTTCACCTTTTGGTTAGTTTGGTTGTTGGAGGTGTTGAGCAGACGGAACACTGGGGTCTTTCCTGGTGGCCTGCCTGCTCTGTGATCAGGGAGGAGCTGAAACAATTGCATGGTTGAGGTTCTGCTTGCTTTTTTTCTTCTTCTTTTTTTAACTAAACTGTTTATGCTGTTTGTGCAGCTCACTTGTGTATGTCCTCCCAAGGGGAGAGAATGCCCCCCCCCCCCCCCCACCCGAGTTGCTTTGTCTCACACCACGCATGCTTACACACACAGGCCTTCTTGTGAAATGAAGCACGCCGTCTCTTTCCCCCCAAGAAAAAAATAATTTAAAAAATGTTGAGTTGCCCCTTCGACTAAAACCCCCCATTCCCCAGCCTTGAACAGTTTTCTGGGGGAAACCCTGGATTGTGAAAACACTTTTTTCCATTATGAAGGTATCTATTTTCTGTCTTGTATTTCTTTCTAGAAATGATCTGCTTCAAAGCACTTCAGGCACTCACCCACCTTCTTCCACCAACCGCCTCAGGACAAGGGAAGGGATGGAGTCACTGCAGTGTGAAATCGGCCATTTCCTTTATGGTGGACTTCGCACCTGTATGTTCTTTTGTGTATTGTGTTTTTTTCCTCATTAATTTTAAAGCTCTTTACAATTTTATGTTGTTTCTTCCTTGTTGTGTATTAGTCTGGAACAAGCATCGCATCCTTGTTTGACAATCCTGATTCATTTGTGAGGGCACAGCAACCTTACATTCTATGCCTGGGACATCCAAGTGGAGCAACACATCAGTATGTTATTGTGGAGAAGAGTGACAAGATTGCCATTCCACTTGGAGATGAAGGCCTGACCTGCTCTCTTGACAAGGTGTTTAAGATGTATTGGGTCTGCAACCTTGCCTACCCTGTCCAACTGCTTCCTGTCTTCTCTTTCCTTGAGCACATCTATGAGGTTCCAGTATCTGGTAAGAAAAGATCCAAAGTTATTGAACTCATCTCCAAGCTCCATGTTATGTCATAGGTAAATCATGTATGTATGTCCAAAGTGCAAACATTTTATTGGGGAAGTCAGAAAGCTTATCCGTCATCTTAGAGTCTTTCATGCCTTATCGGATTCCCAAGACTTTCAAATTGTTTGCAGCCAAAGAAACTGTAAAAGAACATACCACAATCTGAACTCCATGCATGAGGTTGGAAAGTAAACACTGTCCTTTGAAACGTCAAGCACATGTAGTCTGTAACTTTAGGAACGTGTCCAAAACACTGGCTTACAAGAATCAAACACAGAGCATGTACAGCTGGAAACTTGGCAGTCCACTTGCTGAAGAAATCACAGTTCCAACTGACTTTCCAGTCATGGTAGGTTCTCTAGAACACAGCAATTTGCTCATTGAAAAGTTGCAATCAGAGAATGAAGATGTTGGCATTTCAAGCACTATCCATGTTGCACACACTGTGTTTGGTCAGACCCACAGACCAGGGGCTGTTGTCCATCTTAAATATGACTTGAGGTGAACTTGTTTTTGGCGAAATAGTTCACATCATTCTAAAACGTGAAGGTTATTTGTTGTTTCTCAGATGTTTGTCTGTTCAGTATTCTGACGACCATTTCTATGCCCATGCAGTCTCTTGGACTGATGTCTATGAAGTGGTTAGTATAAATGACATTGCTGATTGTCAGACCAATAAGCCTGACATGTTTCCAGGGAGACAGATTATACTTGAATCCCAGGTACAAAATTGTTTAAGACGATCTAAAATGAGACAAAACACTGTTATTGTAATGTATTAACCTAAACGAGTTTTGTTGTTTATCTTTAAAATGTGTTTTGGAATATGTGAGAAATGATGTGGTTTTGTAAAGAGAAAAGTTAAAAAGATGAAGTTTGTTTTAAAGTCAAAGAAGTTTTAAACTGTTAAACAATTTAAAGAAGTGTTCATTTTAAAGTGTTTTTAAGAAGTTGAGTACACGAACTTAACATGCTGTGGTTTTTTTGTCCAAAGTAATGTTAAAAGTGTACAATAAAAGTTTATTTTCTACAAGATGAGTTCCATTTTTTATTTAATTACCACATTTAGCATGTTTTAACACAACAATGTTTCTATATAAGGACAACACATTTTGTGTTGAATTTGACACATTTGATGTGTTAATAATTTCAACACAACTGCTGTGTTAATAATTTCAACACAGTCACTGTGTTAAACACTGTGATTTGTTTAACACATCTGTTTTAAGAGTGTAAGAGATGAGTTAAATACAACCTGAGGGAAAGGGAAGATGGGCAACACCTGCGAGACAGGTTGATTACGATTACTAACAAGTGGGAGTGACTAACTGGAAAAATACTGAGGCAGGCTGGTGAACTGAAAAATCAGAAAAAAATCTAATATGGGAAAAATAATTGGATGTCTGTCGCTTTTGCCTGCAGTGTGAATGTAGTCTCAACCCTAATTATGTCTAGTTGGTATTTGTTTTAATCATTCATTTTAAGGTAATATTAATTTTTTTAAGAACAAAGCTTTACTTCAGTTTTACTCTGATTTTCATGATGAAACTCTTTTTTCTTCTAAAAAAAAATTCATGAGCAATATTTGCTGTTGGTCAACAATAACTGGTAAAAAACTATGAGAGTCTGAACAGGAAACATTTTGGTTTGTTTTCGTTTCTCTGTTTCGGGTGAGGTAACGTGCTTCTTGTTGTGTCACCTCAATAGGGAGGATTAGGAAAGCAGAAATGACCCCCCTCCCCTTCCCCACTTCCTCTGTCCTCTGTCCTGGAAACAATTTGCCACTGGAGACCTCAGGATCATGAAGGTTCCCAAACCGCTCAGCCACCATAAGATGTTGATGAGGAAGAGAATACAGGTAGAAATCACAATTCAAGATAATAAGGATTTGATTTAATGAGAAACATGTAACCAGAAGGCTTTATCCAACATTTACTCAGATGTTTCTAAAAGGTAACATATTACAAATCTATTACTTTGATCATTTTTTAAAATCTCTTTCAAACCCTTTCTGCTTTAAATATCTTTTCACATATTAACTTGTGGCTTCAGTGTTAAGATTTATAGTTCAAACTCACACTATCATTTGTAGCGAGAGCATGCAGCATGCTTTTAGGTTACACCTGACAGAAAGCCAGTGTTCTGGAAAAAGAAGCCGGTGAGGTTTGAGCTGGAATAAGATGTTTTATGTCAATGAAATGTGAAAATATGAAGTGAGAGGATGGCTCAAGAAAACAGTCATCTGTTTTGTTTTCTTAAATAAAGACTGCAGTAGGCTAATTTAGTAGTAGAATGACAGATATCCATTTGTTTTTCAAAAATGTGGATTTTGGCTTCTGCATTTTCTATTAAATTAACTGTTGCTAATCAAAATAGTTTGTTTGAAGCAGGCTTTAAACATTTATAAGGGGATATTTACTGCAATTTGAGAAAAATTTTAAACATGCTTTTATTTATTTATTTTCTCTAAATAAATGTTCACACACTTATAGGACACTTTGGCAGCCAACTGCTTTCTTAGAACTACATTCTCAGACATACTGAAGTAATAGCATGTTTGACTTGAAGGCAACATGAGCTTAATTATACTGTATGTATCATTCATTTTAGTCAAACAGTACATAATTGAAAAATGATTACGTTTGGCATGACGCGTTACGCTAATTTTGTTGAAAAAAAAAAGAATAATATTACATTACACCATGCTTTTACTCTTGCCTCTTTTCCAATGGAAGAGGTTGGATTTAGACATATTTTCTGAGACATGAATACAAGGCTGCTGTCCTGGACTTCATCTGATGCCTCTTTTAATAACAGCCTTTACAATTGTGTAAAATGAAGAGCTAAAACTTGATGTGCATCAGTAGCATTTAGGAGATTTTTCCAAAGCTTTAATAATATGTGTTATTAAAATTTAAACCCTGTAATCCTTGCAAAAATATGTTAATATTACATGGAACTGAAAAAACCAAACGGCTAACCTTAAACCTTTGTATATAGTGACATTATATCTCAATAGCAGATGTTAATATTCTGTTGCGTCAGATTTTTGGAACCTTAAAGGAGAGTTTTAAGGACCCATTTAAACATAACAGCATTAATGTTGTGCAGTGAGGCCAGACTTGCAGCCACACATTTCCCATGTTAGCTCTATGGCGCCACTGCTACCGCACCCCCAGGACCCTGATACTCTGCCACCACAATGATAAACCACTAAAACCTCACAGAGATTCTGTACAGGGTCAAAACCATCCTGGGTCTATCACGGTGTGTCATGCAGAATGGGGAGTCCTCTGGGTTCTTAATATTTGCCTAAAGACTTTGCCAAAAAGCTGCCAAAAAGCACCAACATTCTGAATGAGCGGTTAGGGGTGTGGTTCTGTAACAGGTGGGTTGCTGGTTTGATCCTCCGTTTCATCCATCTCAGTTGTTGTGAATGGCCATGACACTTCACATGCCTTGCCAGCTGGTGGTGGCTTCTGTCAGTCTGCCCAAGGGCAGTTGTGGCTATGATGTAGCTTACCACCAACAGTGTGTGACTGGTAATTATTGTGAAGCACTCTACAAGTTCAGACCCTTTGCCATTTACTTTGGGACAGCAACACAGTTTTCACATCAGGAGTGTATTGATATGAAGATCACAAACTAAAAAACAACTTAAATTATGCATTAATTGAAGTTTGGAGACGTTTTAAAATGCGTCTTTTCAGAACCGCATCTGTCACTTGCTACAGCCGGGAGGGGGGAGCAGTGCGCAACCACCCTTCTTCTGAATAATTGTAAACACAGTAACACAGTTGTTTACACTTACATTAAAAATATTTGACCAAGGAAAAACCGGGGCTGAAGACTAGAGAGAGATGAATATGATTTATATTTTTATTTCTGTGACTGTAACGACCCACAGGAGACACGACATTAACAGCACATTTCATTCCTTTAAGCAGCTCCTTTAATTCCACATGACGCTGCTAAAGAGAACAGATTTTCTTTTCTCGATCTTGGAGAGCAGGACTTCAATCTCCGAACTCGTAAAGTTCTTCTTTTTTACTTAGCGATGTCGTTTATGAATGGACACTTCCTGGTATGTGGGGCAGGAAACATAGCCTTATTTGGTGTTTTTGGGGTGGTAATTATGCTAATCTCCTCTCGGGTGCACGAGCAGCTGGATACGAACAGGTGGAATTTACACAGCTCATTTACACACTTTTCCTGAAGATAGAAGAGTTTGTTGAATCTGACGTGACATGTTCGTACGAACCCTTTGTACGAACAAAAGTAAGAGAAATTTAGGAGAAGAATACGAACATGTTCTTGCATGAGGCCCATTGTTTCTAAGATATTTAGTTCCAAAATAACTAACTTTGTCACGTAAAAATAAAATAACATTCGTCAGAGGAAAGTGATTTATGATCAAGTTCTCAGTGTTTTGATCCTCGCCATGACAGCATGACAGCTGGTAAGACACACATCAGTCTGGAGCACAGAGAGAAACAATTCCCAGCAGAAATCTGCCAGAAGCTCTTCAAACTTTTGTTTTAAAAAATGTTGGCACATGTGTTGAATTGGAAAGTCTGCAGTGAACTTTTCACTGGAACAAATGTGTAATCCTTCTTTTGGCAAAACCATCACAAATCAAATATTAGGAAAAAAATCTAATAAAGTCACCTGATGCAGGCCTGATGAAATCATCACAACAGCACAACATTATATCAGGTATAATTGTTTTTTTTTTTTTTCCTGAAGCTCTTGGAATGGGTAAATAAAGCTAAGCAGCTAAATAAAAGGTGACTGTTTTTATTTCTGCTCATTGGTCTATGACTTTTCTTTTCAGAATGCTAAAGCTGCAGTACATCAACAGACCACACTTACTGGATCATTTCAAACACAAGAAAGTGCAGCCACTCCCCCCCAACATTCATATCTTCCCTTCATCTGCTTTCACAGCTACAAAA